GAGTTCAGATATTCCTACCCCAACACTGACAACTATCACCCCCTCATCCCAGGGCACCACAGGTGTATTGACTATGTTGACAGACCTCACCTCAATACCCACTGTTCCCAGTACCTCAGCAACCTTCACAAACATCAGCCCATCATCTCCAACTGGCCAAAATACAGAAATCACATCCCTTGTTAGCACAAGCCCAACCACAACTCCCACTGTGACAACTACTGTCATAAGTACTGCGAACCCCCGGACAACTTCTCTCACTACCGAAAATCCAGTCACCTCTGCATTCCCCTCTTCTACCAGTGATAGCACCACTCCCACAGAGACTGTCTCCTCTACTTCGGCCACCATCCACACACTGCAGACAACAGCTGGATCCATCCCCACACTCACCACCACCAACACACTCACATCACCCACAACTACGGAAAAACCTCCATTCACTGGAGCACCCACACCCACAGGCCCAGCGACCCTCACCAGCCAAAGAGCCACATCCACCATGAAAACCTCGCTGACTCCCATCACCCATGTTTCCACAGAATCTCTCATGACAGACATTACTTCTACTCCCTCGGTCACCTATTCAACCACTCCTACAAATACAGTGACTTCCCGGGCCACCACCAGATCTCTTCTCACCACCACCAATGTTTTAACATCACCTACCAGTACGACTGCATCTTCTACACCTGTTCCAAGCACAGAGCCCGTCACCAGTGGGACCACGCAGACATTCACCACCCCTCAGTCTACCTTGCTTACCACACACCCTACTACAAACACAAGGTTGACACCTCCATCGGAGACCACTTACCCCAACCTTCACATCAGCACTGTCACACACTCCACCACTGACGTCCCCTCTACCACCACTGTGACAGACACAAAATCCACTATGATGGCTCTTACATCCTCCTCTCCTTCTGTCTCAACCACAGAAAGAGCGAAGACTGCTACCACACACTCGGTCACAGCAGTGACCCAGTCCACCCCACATAGCACTCCCAGCTTCACTTCCTCAGATGTCTACTCCACAGTCAGCATGGCCACCACTGCCATCACCTCACCTACCACTACAGGGAGCACCGTGGTCACTTCCACAATGGTGACCCCTTCTACTCTCAATTCTGATATTCCTCCCCCAACACTGGCAACTATCACCCCTTCATCCCAGGGCACCACAGGTGTATTGACTATGTTGACAGACCTCACCTCAACACCCACTGTTCCCAGTACCTCAGCAACCTTCACAAACATCAGCCCATCATCTCCAACCATCCAGAATACAGAAATCACATCCCCTGTTAGAACAAGCCCAACCACAACTCCCACTGTGACAACTACTCTCACAAGTACTGAGAACCTTCCCACAACTTCTCTCACTACGGAAATTCCAGTCACCTCTGCATTCCCCTCTTCTACAATTCACAATACCACTCCCACAGAGACTGTCTCCTCTACTTCGGCTACCATCCACACAGTGCAGACAACAGCTGGATCCATCCCCACACTCACCACCACTAACACACTCACAACACCCACAACTACGGAAACACCTCCGTCCACTGGAGCACCCACACCCACAGGCCCAGCCACCCTCAGCAGCTCAAGAGCCACATCCACTGCAAAAACTTCTCTGACTCCCACCACCCATGTTTCCACAGAATCTCTCATGACAGATGTTGCTTCTACTCCCCCCAACACCTACTCAACCACTCCTACAAATACAGTGACTTCCCAGGCCACCACTAGCTCCCTTCCCACCACCACCAGTGTTTTAACATCATCTACCAGTACGACTGCATCTTCTACATCTGTTCCAAACACAGAACCAGTCACCAGTGTGACCACGCAGACATTCACCACCCCTCCGTCTACCTTGCTTACCACACACCCTACTACAGACACCAGGTCTACACCTACATCGGAGACCACCTACCCCAACCTTCCCTCTATCCCTGTCACACACTCCACCACTGACATGACCTCTACCACCACTGTGACAGACACAAAATCCACTATTACGGCTTTTACACCCTTGTCTCCCTCCTTCCCAACCACAGAAACAGTGAAGACTGGTACCACACACTCGGTCACAGCAGTGACCCTGTCCACCCCACATAGCACTCCCAGCTTCACTTCCTCAGATGTCTACTCCACAGTCAGCATGGCCACCACTGCCAGCACCTCACCTACCACTACTGTGGGCACCCTGCCGCCCTCCACAATGGTGACTGCATCTACTCTGAGTACAGACATGCCTGCCCTATCATTGACAACTGTCACCCGGGGACCCACTAATTTGTTTACCACAACTAGACAACTCACTTCAACACCCGTTGTATCCAGTGTTTCAGCCACCACTACAAAGACCCTTTCTTCCTCTCCCACTGTGCAGCACACAGAGTTAACATCTCTTGTCAGCACAACCTCTGTCCCCACACCCACTTGGAGAACTAGTATTGCAGTTACCCCTGACACTTCAGTGTCAAGCCATACAACTCCTATATTGACATCCAATGTAGGGACTCAAACATCTCAGGTATCCACAACTCTTGCCCTTGGAAGCACAGATTCCTCCATCTCCTCTGTTCACACTGTTACTCCATCAACCAGTGTCAGCACCATCATGTTGACGTCACCTGTGCAGAGTGGAAGTACACATTTCGTCACTCTGAAAACTTCTCTTTCAACCCCCTCCATGCAAACTTCACTCCAATCTACAAGTCAGCCCACTAGTGCATCTTTTACTAGGATGAGTACATCTACAAATGCAATAACCACGTCTTTCAGTACAATCATCTTGTCTTCGATACCCACTGTAATAATGTCCTCTTTCCTGTCCTCCACCAGCACAAGGACAGCGCTCACCACTACCTTTCACCCTCCTCCTTCCTCCCCAGTCATGTCCAGTACAGAAAATCTAGGCTCTTCTTCTGTCCCAGCGTTTCCTACTCTGTCTTCCTCTGCAACTACCAGAACTTCTCCCACCATCTCCTCTGTGACCACAGCTCCCACCGAAACAACCCCGTTTTCTTATATTTCTCTTCCTTCCACTACACCCTGTCCAGAAACTATAATCATCACCATAGTCCCTACCTCTCCCACAACTCCGTGTGTTGAAATGGGTCCCAGCGGTGAAGTTACTTCTCCTCCCACCACCCCGTTATCTGTCCTTCCCTTTACTACGGAAATGGTCACCTCTCCTACTTCCACCAGTATGAGAACTGCCTTTCCTACAAACATGGGCACATCTACTCCCATGGCTCTGGAAAGTGAGCCTGCCATCATCCCAACTAATGGCACTGGAACCGTTCCCATGAGCCCAGTTGTGACGAGCACCCACTTGCACACCAGTGAGACCTGGCTGAGCACCAGCTTGGCAACCACCCCACGCATACCTGGTCTCACCACGAAGCCACACAGTCCAACTGCCATGACGACTTCAAGGAAGTTGACACACTCGGCCCCACCAACCAGGAGAACTTCAGCCCCACCGGTGCCTACTACCCAGACTCCCACCACCCTTACGTCACCCAAGACAACTTCGACCACTACTCAGATGACCACACAGACAAGGCTGACAACTACCCCAGGTTGGACCTCCTGCCTCCCTGTTCTCTCTCCTCCCTCTCCTGCTAAATTCCTGTGTCACCAGGGTCAGGCTCTATCCTGAACTTCCCTTTCTTTCTGTGCTTCCAGGCACCTGTGACAATGGTGGCACCTGGGAACGAGGCCTGTGCCTTTGTCTCCCAGGGTACTCTGGGGACCGCTGTCAGTTCCAGGAGATCAGGTGTCAGAATGGGGGCACATGGGATGGCCTTAAGTGTCAGTGCCCAAGCACCTTCTATGGCTCCCTCTGCGAGTATGCTGTGGAACAGGTAGATCTAGGTGAGTTGCCAGAGCCATGGCCTCTGCCCTTCCTCCTGGAGGTGCCATCGATGCTCCCTGGGTCCAGCTGTGTGTGTGGCCTGGAGGCACCCATGCCATTTTGCCTAATCCTTCCATTCCTGCCATCTCTCCCATGCCCTCCACTGCCTCGTATCATGCCTCCTCTCCATCCTTCAGGAGGTGACTGGGACCCCACTCCCTCTTGGGGCCTCTTCCTTAGAAGAGGAGGTCTGGGCTGTTTGGAGCTGTATTCGTGTCCAATGGCCTTCTTCTCCCATTGTTAAGGACCCTTGTGTTTACAAGGGCCCACCCAGATAGTTGAGGTTAATTTTCTCATTTTAAGATCAGCTGATTAGCAAGCTAATTCCATCTACATCCTTGATTCTCCCTTGACGTGCGGTGTAACATATCCACAGGTTCTGGGGATCAGGATATAGATGTCTTTGAGGGCCATTATTCTGCCCACCATGGGGCAGGCAGGGAAGGACCACAGCCTGACTGCAGAATGTCCTGTGTACTGTATACCGACCGCAGTCCATCCTGACTTCTTTCCCTCATTCCCAGACAATGCATCCCCAAATTCCTCCTCTGTCCCTGCACTGTGTAGTTAGTCCTCAGGGACCATGGAAGGGGCAGTGGGAGGAGCCTATGGGGCGGGATGGCGGTGGTGGTGATGTCAGACAGGGGCAGATGTGCAGTGACCAGGGCTGTGCATGTTGTGTGCAGAGAAAGTGGACGCTGAAGTGGGCATGGAGGTATCTGTCGACGAGGTGTTCTCCCCAGACCTCAATGACAACACTTCTAAGGCCTACGAGGATTTCAGCAACACTTTCCGGAATCAGGTGAGGAGAAGGGGAGAGGAACTTAAGGGTCCTCCCCTGGACCTAGGCTTGTGCCCCTGGGTGCCCTCAAGCCTGCAGGTTCAGATACAAGCCCAGGGGATCCTTGGCATTTCAGATGCAGAAGATTTACCAAAATGTGCAGGGGTTCAAGGAGGTGCAGATCCTGTCCCTAAGGTAGGAGACTCTTCTGGGGATGTGAAGGCAGTGTCAGGTAGGGGAAAGGGGTGCAAAGAAGGCTAGAGAATCCATCCCTTGCTTTTGGAATTGTCAGATTTCGTAGAGATGGGTGGAGGGAGTATGCAAGGACATCACTCCATGATAGCTTTGTGACCATTTTCTGGGCCCATGTCTTCCTGGTGGGGGGGAGTGGCACCCTCCTCTTCAGCACCCTGGAAGGAGAGAGGTTGCAGGGACATGCGCGGAGGTGGTGTCTGGACTGGTGATGTGACCTCCCTCTGGTTGGCCCCTGCTCTGCTGGGTGGGTCAGCATGAGAGAGGGGCAGAGGGCCCAGGAATTCTTGGTCGGTGGCAGCTGGATGCAACATGAAGTGAAAGTCAATTACTCCTTGCCCTGCCTTCCCAGGTCGACCAAGTCAGGGATGCTGGCAGCCCCCTCTGAAAAGGATGTGTTTGGCATCCTACCTCATGACCTTTGCCCCCTTCCCATGCCCTTGTGGGTGGACCCCGAGGTGCCCCTCCAAGAACCTATGTGCCCCAGGCCTGGGCCCCTTCTAAGGTCCCTGACCCTTCAGGAATGGCAGCATCGTGGTGGACTACCTGGTCCTGCTGGAGCTGTCCTTCAGCTCCCAGCTGGACAGCGAGTATGAGAAGGTGAAAACGGCCCTGAAAGAGGAGCTTCAGAACTCCAGCCAGGATGAGGACAGCTGCCACAGCAAACAGAGTGAGCACAGCTGGAGGGAGGGTCGGGCTGGAGCTCCAGCTCAGTCAGGGGCCTTCGGGCTCAGGCGGCAGCCCTGTGGTGTCTCTGGCAGGTTGGGAGACGGGGCACAGGTCCACACCCAAGGGGGCCAAGGCTGGGCTAGAGTGGGTCTCACCAGCACTTGGTGCTGAGAAAGAGACCCCCTGGCAATTACCACAGCGTTTCCAGGGTGGCCGCAGACCCCTGTGATTGGGAGAGATGAGGGAGGCAGTAGGAGTCTTCCCTGCGGTGCCTCCACAGCCCCCACACTGAGAGAGCCCTCCAGCCCCCCACCCCTGTCCTGCTTCCTGGCCCTAACCCCGTTACCAGACCCGGTCATTCCATCTCTGTTCATGTCCCCACAGCTCTGTGTTTTAAGCCTGACTCCATCAAGGTGAACAACAACACTAGGACAGAGCTGACCCCAGAAGGTGAGGGTGGGAAAGGGCTGAGTGGCCTCAGGCAGCCATAGCCCCTCCCACCAGGGACAGGGGCGAGGGGAGGAGCCCTGTGGGGGAGGCAGGTGATGTGGCCCAGGGCTGCCCTTCCTGACGCTTGCTAGCGGTTTCCATCGGAGGACCTGCAGGGACCGCCAGGGCAGGGTGAGGGCCTTCCTCTCATCGAATCCCAGGGTCTACCGCACGACACACCCTCAGAAATGTAGTCTTCCCCATGCGTTTTCAAAGTCGCCATTCTCAGGCCCCTAAGTAGGATGGATGAGGTCCCCGTCTCTCTGCAACCTCCCCTCCCTCCCCACCCCCAGCCATCTGCCGTCGCGCCGCACCCAAGGGCTATGAGGAGTTCTACTTCCCCTTGGTGGAGGTGAACCGGCTCCGATGCGTCACCAAATGCACGTCGGGCGTGGATGGCGCCATAGACTGCAACCAGGGCCAGTGCGTCCTGGAGCTGAGCGGTCCCGCGTGCCGGTGAGGCCCCGCCCCTGCGCTGGAGCCCCGCCCACAGCCCCATGCCCCACCCCGCGCTCGGACCGGCGGGAAGGTGCTGAGGATCTGAGACCTGCGCCCCTAGGTGCTTCTCCACCGACGAGCTCTGGTTCTTTGGCCCGCGCTGCGAGGTGGCCGTCCGCTGGAGGGCGCTGATCGGGGGCCTGGCGGGGGCCGCGGCGCTGCTGCTGCTGCTGCTGCTGGCGCTGGGCTTCGTGGTGGCCCGCTTCCGCAGGAGGGGCGGCCGCCAGGGCAGGTGAGCTCGCGGGGGAGGATGGGAGGGGGCGCGGGGCGGCAAAGGGTTCCAGACGGGGCAGCCCTGCCTGACCGTGCGGCGGCCCCACCTAGGTCCTGGGAGGAGGACAGGAAGTGGCTCGAGATCTGGGACGAGGACAACGTGGGTACTTTTTCAAACATGGGCTTCGAGGACGACAAGATAGGTGAATCCTGCCTCCTGGGGAAGCGGGTAGGGGTTTCCTGGGGCACCACTGCGAGAACGACGAATATCTCGTGCTGGGGGGCTTGTGTCCATGCTTCCATCCCCCCCCCCCCTTTTGCGGAGGGCAGGAGGGGAGGGCAGGAGGGCAGGCAAGGGCTTCTGTGCCCCAAGGCCTGGCCTTCCTCACGTTCCCCCTCCTCTCCCTTCCCTGTCCTCCCCTCCGTTCCTCTTTTATGTCTCTAGTCAAGGATGAAAACTTCCATGTGGCTTTGGAGACCGTGGACACCAATATCAGGGTGAGAGGGCTAAGGGGGGACCTAAGGTGCTCTCCCACCTCTGGTTCCAGATTCCCTCCCCAACTCCCACCAGGGCAGGGGCTGGGCTAGGATCCCGAGGTTGTGGCCCCTGCCAGCCAAGCTGGTGGCTCCCTGTTCCCACTCTGGCAGGTGCAAATCCAGAGACCTGAGTTGACCTCGTCTTCCTCATTGTGAGCCCTGACTAGGATGGAACCATCTACACTGCGTCCATTTCAAGAGCGGCCTGAGGGCATGTGCATCCCAGGCTCCTAGTGCCCTTGGGTAAAATGAGACTGACTCCCTGAATCCCATCCTTTTCCTAACTTGGCCAAAACCCACCTGGAGACCCAGTGCACTAGTCTCTTCTGCTGTGGGACTTTGGGCAAGTCAGTGACTTCTCCGAACCTTGGTTTCCTCACCGGTAAAATGGGCACAACGTGCTCGTCTTGATACCTCCTAGTTATTGTGCAAACCACATGGGCTTGCTCAATTAATTCTCTGCCCCAGTCCCCATGTTCCCATTGGCTCTCTCAGCTCCCCCAGTCCTCATGTCCTGTGCCTGGTCTCAGGCCCACCCTCTCCTAACTCCTTGCTCTCATTCCTTACTCCGTCTACTCTTCTGAGGCCACTCCGTAGTCAGTGCCCCCCTCCCCTTCCTGTTCCCTCAGCCCCAAATCCTTGCTTCCCCATCCAGTTCCCCAGCACTAAATCCTCCCTCCTCCCCTAAACCCATCCCTGGCGAGGCACCGACACTCTCTGTGTCTTAGACTCTGCCAGCCCCCCCCAGCCCCCATTCTGAGGCTCTGCTCCTTCTCCTTGCCCCCAAGGGCCATGATCCCTGTGGGTGGGGGGAGGGTGTGAGTTGCCCAGGTCCCTGAGGATAAGGGGAAGTGGGGCCCTGAGCCCTGGAAGCCCCCTCAGTTCCCCCCCCCTCATTCCCCAACCCTCCCTCCTCCTTAGCCTACTGCTGCCTTTTTCCCATTCCCTCCACCTTCCCCTCTTCCCCCCTCCCTTGTGTCACCCCCATCCCTGCAGTAACCTCTGAGCCCCAAGCCCTGAACCTCCTTTGCCAGGAAGGTCTGCTTTGGGGACAAGAGGTCGGCAAGTCTCCCTTCTCCACGTGAACACAATACAGCACTTTTTGTAAACGAAGCTGCTCTGTCTCTCTCCTTTTCACCCCCAGTGGACCCTACTTGGTTGGAGAACAGGGACTTCTGGGTGAGGGAGGAGGGAGGGTCTGTGAGCAGCCCTCAGGGGGCCATGACTGTCCTGGTGGGGAACATAGGATTGGGGGGAACCATTTTGTTAGAGAGTGGGTGGGTACGGGGCCCCTTGGGAGCTTAGGGCTGGGGCTTTGGGAGGAATTAGAGCCCTGGTGCTGGGTCAGGGACGTGGGTGGAGCTGCCCGGGCCAGTGGCCTATTGTGAGGATGGGCCTCCCCAAACCCCTTGAGCCCCCAAGCCCTGATTGCAAACACGTACTTGCAGCAGGGCCTGTCTGTACTGGGACGGGCCCTCCTGTTCGCTGTGGGGAACTGACCAGCTAAGGAGGGTCAGGAATAATTTGTCTTCTTGGCTCTTTGGGTGGGGGTTTGGGAGAGGCCTCTGCAACCTTTGCACTAGGCAGGGACTGGCCGTGGCATTTCCTCACCTCTCTTTCTGGCCAGAGGTGGGGACCAGGACCATAAAGTGTCCGGTGTGAGTGGACACTCCACCCAGGGGTAAGGGCTGGGAGCTGGGAGCTGGGCCCTGGGGGAAAGTACTAGAAATTTGAAAGGGGCCAACTGGTGGGGAAGGGGCTGGGTGTTGGGGAAGAAAGGCTGGACCTAAGAGAGGCTTCTGTGGGGCAGGGGTGAGGTCTCTTCATGTGGCCTGGCCTCTGGCTGGCTGACCCTCCCTCCATGGCCCTCTCTGGTTGGCGGTCCTTGGCCCCCAGCCCTTGGCATCCATTGCCAATGTCACACCTCTGGCCTCTGTCCCTCCCTCTGGCTCTGCCCCACTGTGGCTCTGGCTTCCGCTGAAGAGACTCTGGCTCAGGGCAGTCAGTGCTCCAGCAGTCAGAGGGAAGGAGGTTGAAGGCTGTCCTTTGTCGCCACTCCCTGTGGTCACCATAAACCACCCACTACATGTCATCACCTCACCTCCACCCTGGGCCTGGCATTGTCCTTCTTCAAGGCAAAGGTCTCTGGGGTCCTTTATATAGCTGATCCCTTCTTGGGAGGCTCTCACTTCTTGGTCCTTCCTGACGAGGGAAGACGGTGTTGCCTGGGTCCCTTCCGGGAGATGCTGGTGATCTGGATCCTGCCGCTGGCTCTCCGGCTCTGGGCATCTGCCACCACCCTTGCTGCAACAACACAGACACAGAGTGAGTGTGCCCGGGCTGGTGCTGGGGGCTGGCGGGGTACAGGCCTCCCTGCCTCCTTTTGCAAGGAAGGGGACTGCCAAAAGGCTGGAGATTGTGCTGTGACCTCATCCTGCCTTTGGGATCCTACAGGGGTCACTCTGGAGGCCAGTGGGTGCCTGTGGTTGTGCAGGTCACAGCCCTGCACACAGCCCCGGCCTCAGGGCGAGGGGCCACCGAAATCCACCCGTCTTGCTCTCCCCAGGCTCTCCCAGAGGACAAGGGGCTTTCTGTCACATACACGGTGGTCTCGGCCTGCCCTCATCCTCAGGGCTGCATCCGAGGGCCAGGTCTTCCCAGGTCACAGAGCCACTCACAGCACAGGCTGCTGTCCCGCTGGTGGGGAGGGAGTCCTGGGGTATCTGGCAGCTTTGCCCCCTAACCTGGGGGAGCCCTTCTAGTTAGAAATGACTGAGAGTCTGGGGGAGGGGACACAGGCTTGGGGTCCTTGTTGAGCCTCTTGTGGTCATGTCGGGTGCAGGCCAATTTCCCTCAGGCACGGAGGAGCCCCAAGGAAGGGGTGGGCAGGGCTGAGGGGTGGCAGGAGAGGGAGACTTTGAGTTGGAGCCCATGGGGTGGGTGGGGAGGGGCAGGGGAGCTGGAGTGGGGGTCTCTGGAGCCTGGTGGAGCACCCGTGAGGTAACCTAAGAGGCAAGCTTGGCCACCTAGTCAAGAACTCAGCCTGGCCTGCCCAGACAGACGTCTGCCCCCACCCCAGACATGCTAAGGGGAGCTGACGGGACAGGAGTGAGGGCTGGAGTGTCGAATTGTGTGGGTTTTGGGACATTATGAGAATACATCAATAACAGATTCCCTTTAAGGAAATGTATCGAGCATAGGAAGCTGTGGGCGAGGCAGAGGGGGTGGCGGGGGGGAGTCAATCTTAGGGGTGGCCCTCCCCACCCCTGCTGGCCAGGTCTGGCCTTGCTGCTCCTGGGAGCTCTCTCTGGCCCAGTGACCTGAGGGGATGGTGGTGGTGGTGACGCTGATGATGGAGGCATTGCTCTGTGGGCCCAGTCACGTCTTAGAGACAGCCACCAGCAGCCAAAGGCCCCGTCCCTAAGGTGCTTATAATCACATGGAAAAGATAACAGGTGAATCTGTTAGTGCAAAAGAGTGAGGAAAACACCTACCTATGGTCAGTGCAGAGAGCAGAGGACGGGGTGAGGCCAGGCAAGCAGGGCCCTTCTGGAGGGCTCTGGAAGGCCTGATTATACCCAGCGACCCCTGAGCCCCACCCTCGGAGGGCTGCCCCATTACAAAGCCATTTCACAGCATGTAGCTCATAGGATTCTCTTGGGTAGAATTGCGTGAGTCAGTCAGGACAGGAACCGAGGGCTCAGAGAGGATGGGTGACTTGCCTGGGTCCGCACAGCCGGTAATTAACACGACCACCCTTTGACACGGGGTTTGTGGGGGGCCCACCCTCCTTCTGGAGGACCTCAATCCTCTGCAGTCCCCTCACCCCCCAACAGGCATATATTCTGAGTCCTGGGGGGAGCAGTTCAGATGTCAGGTCAGAGACCACCGGCAGCATCCGTAGCTTTCTTTCCTTCCTACTGTCTGCACCGTCTTCTGGGCACGCCAGCAGGCTGAGGACTGAGGCAGGTTTGGACATGCAGACAGTGGGGCGAAGGAAGACCACCCTGAGAAGGCAGGAAAAACATTTCCACGACTGTGCAGGGAGCTAGGGCATAGGAATGCCCTGGAAGGAGAGGGGCGCGTGCCAGGAGGAGGGAGAGGTTGGGAGGAGAAAGCGCGGTGGTGCTGGTGTGCCTGTGTGTGACCGGAGCAGGAAAGTTGGGCTGAAACTTTTAGACACCAGAGGAACCTCTGTGGGCTGAGCAGGGCTGGGGCGCAGCATCAGAGAGGCCTGTGGAGAGGCCTCGAGAGCCATCCTAGAAGGACGTGAGGGCTTAGCGGGGAACCCACCTCCCCTGGAAAGGGAGGCTCCACTTGACGGTGCGCTGTGGGGGCAACAAGGTGGCCAGTCCAGCAGGCTGTATTGACTGGGAGGGCAGGAGCCACTATTTGCTGGGTGGCAGTGGCTCCAGTTGGGCCTGTTGAGCTTGGGGTGACTGTGGAGTTTCTGGGTGGAGGAGTCCTAGAGGCCTGTGGCTCAGGGAAGAGCCTCCAGGAATAGGGGCACAGTCTAGAATTCTACATTCCCCATGTGCTGCAGGGGGGACAAAGACCACAAAATGCCAGAAAAATGCCAGGAGTCAAATGAGGACTGGAACCTATATCCTGTTTTGTGTACACGAAGTTCCAATATGTTCACAAGGGAGAGGGACAAAGTGCCTGTCCCAAAGGGCTGGGGCAGGGGCTGGAAGGGACCAGAGTTCTTGAGCCTGGAAAGGTGAAGGTGGAGAGGGAAATGCTCACCCTCTATAAAATTGGGAAGAGCGTGGAAAAGGTGAGAACAGATTTGTTCACAATAGACAAAGGGGCAACCTTTGAAACACACATGATGTTTCAAAATGACGTCTTAATTGCTTTTGAGCAATTAAAAGGAGGTGCTTTTTTTTTATAGAAAGTAATAAAGTTACTCATTGAGTAAACAGCTGGGCAGGTGCTCTGGAAGGGGCAGGATGAACAAACAGTTCATAGTTGCCATGGGGACTATGGGGAAACAGCCACAGCCCAATCTGGTGCTGAAGCTACAAGAGGGGCCCAGAGCTGAAAGGGGGCAGAGGGGACCTCAGAGGCTACAAGGAGTGAGGTCATTCGAGTTTGGTGGCTGTTGAGAAGCAGTATAGGAAGTACTAATAGATGCTGAAAGGCTTTAGACAAATTCAGAACCGACAAAGCCATACATAGCTGTGAAAAGAACTGGAATATTGATAAACATATTCCCTGGGGAGCCACGGTGACCCCGGAGTCTGGGCATGATATTAATAATACAACTGGCTGATGTGCATTGAGGGTCTGCTAATATGCTGGACACTGTTCGAAGTATCTATTATCTCATTTAACTTTCACAACAACCCTAGGAAGAAGGTTCTGTTACTGATTTCTGTTTTAATCCATGGGGAAACTGAGGCACAGAGCTGGTAAATAATTTGCTCAAGGTCTCCTATTCATTACTTGGAAAAGTTGCAACTGGAATCCAAGCCTTCTGGCTCCAGAAGCTACATTCCTTATCACTTGCTATAATTGGGATGCCTATTTGTGTTAGTTTCCTGTGGCTGCTACAACAAATAACCACAAACTTGGTGGCTTAATGCAACAGAAATTTATTCTCTTACAGTGTGGAAGCCTGAACATCAAGGTTGTCATTAGTGCCATACTCCCTTCAAAGGCTCTAGGGGAAGATCCTTCCTTGCTTCTTCCAGCTTCTGGTAGCTGCCAGCATTGCTTGGCTTATAGCAGCATCACTCTGATCTCTTCCTTGTCTTCATATGTCTTCTTCCTTGTGCATCAAATCTCTTTTCTTTTACGAGGTCACCAGTGTTTGGATTTAGGGCCCATCCTAAATCTGATCTAGAGATCCTGAACTTAATTATATCTGCAAAACCTCCTATTTCCAAATAAGATCACATTCACAGGTACCATGGGTTAATACTTGGAGATATCTTTTGGGGGAACACAGTTCAACCCATTCCGCCAAGCTTCAGCGGCAGTCATTTTAGGGAGGCAATGGCACCGCCTGCTGGCACTAGAGGGTCAGGAAGCCCTCCACTCACTGTGGGTGTGTATGGGGAGAGGAAAGAGCCAGTGTGGCCCCGGTCCTGTCTCACTGCAACTCTGCCAAGCACGAATGACCTTTCAGGAAGGACACAGACCCAGGCCACTGAGGTCATGTGTGGCAAGCCTGAATGCCTACCCAGGACTGGGTGACCTCAGCTCATCCCAGTGCCATTGTAAGATTGGAGAATATTCTAGAATGAGCAGAATGGTCAGGGCCCCATTTTCCAGGGGAAGATGGAAGTTCAGAGAAGTCCACTGGCTTTCACGAGGTCACACAGCTGTGTAGAGGCTGATCTTGGATACACATCGGGGCTCCCACTCCGTACCTCATGGGAGGGGTGCTGCCAACACAGCCTCTGCCTCTTGGGCAGGGTGGGGGTGCGAGGGCTGCTGGGGACCCCACTGACTGATTTCACCACTGGCAGAAATGTGTTTTGAGGGTGGTAGGAGGGGACAGTCTCGTAGTTTGGGGGTGGTCTTCAGATATGTCCCTGCGGTGCTAACGCTCTTCCCCAAGAACGTGACAATGTGAAAGATTTGCTTGACAAACCTGCTGCCTTCATTAAATAATTATTGTTTTAAAGAAACATCCAAATACATGTAGAATGAAGATGCAATAAAAAACTATAAACGGGACAAGAAAGTACTCAACTTTACTTGTTTAATGAGATACTACATTGTAACTTTTAGACAGAACAAGAAAGTACCAAACTTTACATGCTTAGTAGGAGAGCTGCCTGGCATCTTTAATGACCCAGATGCAACGTGAGGGAATAGGTAAATTTTTTAAAGTGTTTCGATCATGAAGATCTGGGGAATCCCAGCTTGGCAAACATTAACAGTGAGTGATTTTCCCTGGCTTCTCCAAGAGTGCACATACATTATTTTCTTTCTTTCTTTCCTTTTCTTTCTTCCCTTTTCTTTCTTTTCTCCTCTCCCTTCCCCTTCCCCTTCCCCTTCCCTTCCCTTTCTTTTGAGACAGCGTCTCATTCTATTGTCCCAGCTAGAGTGCAGCGGTGTGATCATAACTCACTGCAACCGCAAACTCCTGGGCTCAAGCGATCGTCCTCTCTCAGCCTCTCCAGTAGCTGGGACTACAGGCATATGCCATGGCGCCCAGCTAATTTTTCTTTTTATAGAGACAGGGTCTTGCTGTTGCTCAGGCTGGTCTCGAACTCCTGGCCTCAAGTGATCCTCTCACCTCAGCCTCCCAAAGTGCTGGGATTACAGACATGAGCCACAATGCCCAGACATTTATTGTGTTTAAAAAATTATAAAATGAAGGCATATCTGTTGTGAAACATTCAGAAAATATAGACAAAAAGAAGAAAAATCTCCCTTAACCTTACCACTCAGATAAACACTGTTAACATTTTGGTTTATTTCCGAATGTGTATTTAGATTTATTCTGTGGGCAGTTCATATTTTAATGGCTGATTATGATTCTGTTCTATGGACTACCACAGTCATCTAACCAATCTCCTATTTGTCTATTGTTGGACATGTTTACCCCAGTGTTCCACTAGAATAGACAATGATGCAGTAAACATTCTTGTATAAATTTCTTTTTATATCTTCATCAGATTGTTTTAGGATCGGTCACAAGAAATGGCATCGTTAAAATGGCATGACTATTCCTGCGGTCCCTGAGGCATATTTTCAAATTATCCCCTAGAACTGTGACACCAAACCCACATCCACTGACATCACACGAGAATGCCCCAACCGACACCAGCTATTATGGTCATCTAACATTGTGTGATTTGATAGGTAAAAAATAAATAGTATCTTGCTTTGTTTTGAATTTCTTTGCTTCCTGGTAAAGTGTATTTACTTTTTACTTCTCATAGACTGGTTGGCCATTCGAGTTTCTTTGCAGGAGAAATGTGCTTTTCTTTTGCCCGGTTTCCTTGTGGGGCACTCTGACCCTGGAGGTTGACCTTGAGAGGGAAGCCTCACCTGCTCTCCCACATCTTTTGGGGATACTGTTGCCCCCAGAATACTGGGCTGAGAGGGATGTGAACCTATTCACCAGGGCACTGTTCCCTTGTCCCTCCTGTAGAGAATGCAAAGCCGTGGCATGGAGGAGCTTGCCTGCCCACAGGATGGGGTGGCAGAGCCAAAACCTTTAGCCTGGGGCTCCCACTTAGATGGTGAGCAGGGAAGAGCTGGGGAGAAGGACTGTTAGGAGGGGCTGGTGCCTTGGGAACTCAAGCAGATGAAAGATTCTAGAAAGAGGTAGAGCAGCTCTATGAGACAATGAGAGGGACAGGAATTCAGTCACTCAGAGCTCAGTGTGATCCAGGAGGGCAATTGTCATGGAGACGTGGGTGGTTAAGGACAGATCAAATGGTAACAAAATGGAGAAAATTGTATGAGTCCAGGAATAAAGACAAAAGAGAGCAGGTGTCTAAAGCAGTCCCCTCCACTCCACAGAGTGTCCCTGTCTTCTTTGGGTCCCCTGGTGGCCCACCATGTGACTGCTGTGGCCCCTTCGTGCAGCCTCCAGGGCACAGCTTCCAAGGCATGGCTGGGATCACAGCTTTTTGCTGGACGCTGCTGCTCGGTCAAGTCCAAACCCCACTTCCAGGCTGGGATCATGCCCACCTTCCCAGCTTCCCTCAGCCCCACTGCAAAGGTGCAATGAGCACTTATTTGCCTTTGAGCCTCCGCACATGCTGTTCCCTGCCTTGAGACCTTTCCCTTCCTCTGCTTAACTCCCTGAACCCTTTTCTGCTGCTAAAAGTAAAAGCCATCTTTAGAATGTGCTTGTATTCTATCTTACAAGCGCAGTGACTTGGGGAAGTATTTAACCTCAGAACCTGGATGCATGGGTAAAACAGAAACAGCAATGTCTACCTCGCAGGGTTGTCATGAATATATGCTCAGTGCCTAAGAGAAAGTGTCTGGTAGACTTTGCAGTGTTCACTGGCTCATGTACTGAAGACCTTCACACTGAGCATCGCTCTGGGGCAGAGAGGCTCTCTACTCTCAGAGTTTACAGCCTGTGAGGCAAAGCCATCCCATGGGCAGTCGCAGAATCCCGGAGCTCCAATTGCAGTAGGTCCTGTGCTAGGGCGAGTGCGGGGGTCCGACTCGTAGCCAGTAAATGCTGGTGTCCCCACCTCTCTTTGTTCTCTGTGAGTCGGTTAGGGTGATAATTGTAAACTGCCTTTATATGCCTTTTCATTGCTTGACTTGTGACAACGAGCGTATTCTACTTTTATAACTTAAAAAGTCCAGTAAAATTTATGAGTAAACCCAAGAAACTCCTTTTTTTTTTTTAGATGGAGTCTCCCTTTGTTGCCCAGGCTAGAGTGAGTGCCATGGCGTCAGCCTCGCTCACAGCAACCTCACACTCCTGGGCTCAAGCAGTCCTCCTGCCTCAGCCTCCCGAGTAGCTGGGACTACAGGCATGCGCCACCATGCCCGGCTAATTTTTTATATATATATCAGTTGGCCAATTAATTTCTTTCCATTTTATAGTAGAGACGGGGTCTCGCTCTTGCTCAGGTTGGTTTTGAACTCCTGAGCTCAAACGATCCGCCTACCTTGGTCTCCCAGAGTGCTAGGATTACAGGCGTGAGCTACCACACCCAGCCTGAAACTCCTTTTTTTAAAGAAGAAGGAAAAAATAATGGATTAGGCATTATTTTTTCCTGGAAGACTTCCTCAGCAAGAGGCTGAGGGAGTGGCCAGCCCCTCTGTGGACTCTTGCCCTACCCTGGGGGGGCCTCTGTGCCCCCTCATTGTGCTGCCACACACCCTGCCCTCTCTAAGGGGTCCCCTATACGCTGTCCTGGAGAATTGCTAAGAACCCCTAAGCAGATGGCAGCATTGTCACCTACTCTGTCCATATATGATCCGATTCATCTCATAGGCAGGTTGAAGAGGAGCCGGGGATTATATTCCCATCTCACACAGGAAAGTGCAGTCTTACATGTCCAGCCACACACTCTAAGTGGCACAGAGAAGACGGAGTTGGCCTTCCAGTCCCTGGGCCGAACCTGATTCTCTTACTCCTACATAGCTGCAGCCTGCTGAATGGGCAGAGGGACGAGGGGCAGGACGCACCCCCTCCGCAGGCTGTGAGGGCTGCGGGACGGTCAGGTAGAGGTGGCAGCACCCCAGCTAGGGGGGCCAGCCCTTGTGTGTGTGAATACTTCTGGAGAGAAAGGACAGAGAGAGCATTTTCTGTGGCAATGGATGACTGCATTGGCTTTCCTGTTGCCCCGCCTTGGTGGCAACTGCCTGTGTAGAGGTTAGGGGGTCACACATAGAGGATAAGTAAGAGACCATGACACAGGGTGAGCATGTGGTCTGCAAATCACAGAGTGAGAGGAACGAGAGGAATATGCGCAGGGCATTTGTGTGAGTACAACCCTGTGCTCCACTTCATGCCAGAGACCTGAGTAAACGCATGTATCCCAGTGTCCTGAGAGAGGAATGTGCAGGGCATATTATACAGAAGTATATAAATATGGTTCTACATAACCATACACATTTATAAGCATTCATGGCCGTATTATTAACAAATCAGGTCAGAAATCACAATTAATACCCAGGAAATTATCTAGTGACATGATACCCACTAGACAAACTGATACACTATTGAATTCCACAGAAGAGAAAACTATGTATGCACCAGCAAAGCATATTACTCCAAAACCACAGGTTTACCTGACACTTCCAGTACCTGTCCAAAACAGAGCTGAGCAGCCATACTGTGGGCTGAGGAATTATGTCCCAGCCCAGCTGCCATAGGACTGAATGCCACAAAACACAAGGAGAAAATCATAAACAATACCATATTATCTGATTTTTCTAAACCCACAGGCACATCAGGAATACCTGATACAACTTCAACACCAAGGTTAGTTAGCCAAGGTTCAATACACAACGGAGTGTCTGAACATGGATCCTCCACACCAAAACCTGATGAAAACACTACAAACTTCGAGAAGAGCCCAGGTTCGATTCACACCACAGTGCCACCTGACATCTCTACAAACCCACTCCTCAATGAAATAGAGACCACATTAAGCGGCAGCCCAGGCTCAACTCCCAATATGGTGCCATCTGGGAGCTCCGCTGTCCCAGGTGCTGGTGGGAGATCTATGATATACCCTAGCAGCCCCAGCACCTCCCAAACGACAGTGTCACTTGCCGATTCAATGACTCCTGGACACAGCGAATCCACAAACTCAACAAGCAGCCCAGGGTCAAAAGATCAAACAGCGTTTCCTGAAACCTCCCCAATGGCAGGTACCAGTAAGACATCTAAACCCATCACAGGCACTGAAGTCTCACTGCAGAACACCGGGTCAGCTGCTGACTCTTCCATACCAGGCCTCAGTGAAGGATCTACAAGCGCCTCAATGAGCCCAGCTTCTCCTCTCCCAACCATGTCCCTTGGGAGGTCTGGTAACATAGACCTCAGTGGGGGATACACAACCCCCTCAGGCAGTGCAGCGTCACCACACAGCGCCGTGTCAACTGCTGGCTCTTCCACACCAGGGCTCAGTGAAGGATCAAAAAGCGCCTCAAGGAGCCCCACTTCTCCTATCTCCACAGTGTCCCCAGGGAACTCTGGCACTCCAGCCCTTGGAGCAGGATCCACAACCCCCTCAAGCAGTGCTGTCTCTCCTCACAACACCGTGTCACCTGCTGACTCTTCTACACCGGGCCTCAGTGAAGGATCTACAAGAGCCTCAA